GGTTCCTTACACTCTCTCTCCCTCTATCTCTCTATTTCTCTCTCTCTGCTTTTGTCGAATTTGTGGGCCGGATATATCCGGTCCACAGGCTGCCCGCAAGTTTTCACATTTCCGGGCAGCCTGTTCACCGGATAGATCCGGTCCAGATTCCACGACGTAAGGGAGAGAGGGAGAGAGAGAGAGAKAGACGGAGAGACAAAGTATTATAAGCATCAATATTTCAAGGTAAACATGTGCCTCACAATATTGATGCTTATAATAATTTCTCTACAACGCTTTGGGTCCCACACACAATCGTCTTCACAACTTTGACCCTCTCTGCTCCTCTTAAAGAAGATCCATGCGAACTTTACATCGATCCGCCCGCTTTGAAGTTGTCGGATGGTACACCACCCCTACTGACTGACCCGCCAGCACCCGCGCCGAGAACAGTGCAGGGTAACAGAAACGTCGTGGGCGTAGGGTTGGTGTACGATCAACCCGCTTTGGAGTTGTCGGACGGTACACCACCCCCGCTGACTGACCCGCCAGCACCCTTGCCGAGAACAGCGCAGGGTAACAGAAACGTCGCGGGCGTAGGGTTGGTGTACGATCAAATGATAGTCGGACGCTGACTGACCCGCCAGCACCCGCGCCGAGAACAGTGCAGGGTAACAGAAAAGTCGTGGGCGCAGGGTTTGTGTGCAATCAAATTATAGAAGTGATGAGGCAGAGAGGAGCCACATTGTTAACATGACAGGTGCAGACCCTCAGGAGCCACATTCTTACTAGGTGATTTTGCGGGGCCTTCAAAGGGCAGAGAAGGCCGACCTCATCTCTCTCCGTCTCTCTCTCTCTCTCTGGCAAAATCACCTAGTAACAATGCGGCTCCTGAGGGCCCACACCTGTTATGTTTCGCTGTTGCCGGTAACTTGTCCATAGGATAGATCCGGACCACATCGACAAGACTTGAACTTCAAGGCCCCGCAACATTATTTGGGGTTATGAAACTTCTGCCCCACATTGAACCCTCGCAACATTATTTGGGGTAACTGCCCACATTGAAGCCCCACAACATTATTTGGGGTAGCCGTTATGAAACTTCTGCCCCACATCGAAAACAGCATGGTGTACTAGGAGGTGTACCTTACATTTGTATGTCGGATATGTCCTTGACATAGGTATTGACGGTGCCCCACATCGAAAACAGCATGGTCTTCCCTGCATTTTGTTGCTTATCAAGGGTGTACTGGGAGTTGTACCTTATATTTGTATGTCGGATACATCCTTGACATACGTATTGACGGTGCATTTCACTGCTTATTAAGGGTGTATTGGTATTGACGGTGCCC